TTCTGTGATTCTATGAAATGAGCTTTTTGCTGAGGACAGATTTGGTGTTACGGCTCTGGAGGAGTATGAGGGGTTTTTACTTAGAAGTTCTATAAGTCCCATCCCCAAGCCCACAGCTTGTTTGTTGACTTTATTGTCAGAAAAGATTTAGCCCAGTTTGTCCTTGTAGATAATGTAGACCATAGATTGTTGTCTGATTCCTCGTTTTAGCTTTCAAATGATAAACAGCTTTAAAAGTAGCCTCTGCTATCATTCTGCATACTTTTCAAGATAAGCTGTGTGCTGATGTTTAATGTAAACTGCTTTCCAAATTCAGGACTGATCTGTGCGGGCATATTTCAAAAGTTTGTAGTTATACAGATTAAAGAGGACAGTTTATTTTCCTCTGGATGTTGCTGGTTGAGTGTGAAAATTATTGAACGGGTACAGCTTCTCTTCTCACTTCATGCCGCTATGCGGAGTATCATCCAGAGGCTGAGCAAGATATGTTAGTCTGCTCTTAAGGTTGTATCTCCAGGACACACTCTGGAGTTTACTGCATGGGCGATTTCATAGACTTTGCCCATTTTTTTTTCTCAACGAGTTTGTCACTATTATTCAGTGAAGGTCTTAACCTTTGAGCTGCCTGGTACTGACACCATCTTCAGGATTTTGCTTTGTGAGACCTTGTTACGGCCAATACTCGTGTTTATTCGGAAGCTGCGCTTTTCTGTGATCAGAAACTGTAAGTATGTGTGGTACTATGATGCCGTTTAGAAACAGGTAGTACGTGCATTGTGAGCAAAAGCAGCAAGGAATACTCGCTGTTGCTGGGGTTTCAGATGCAGGCATTTTATATGCTGATCGGCAGCCTCAGGGTTGTAATTGTCAGGTATTCTGCAATTACACAGCAATTAATGCAGTTTGTTCTTTCATGTTTTTAGTTTTTATGCATTGCTTTATAGAAATATGCATTGATACCATCCCTGTTATAGTGCAGTGGCAGGCAGTGTTTAAGGTCAGGTTAAATATTAGCAAACTATATGGGGTTTGTATCTTCTGTTTGTATGTGGGAGAAGGAATTATGCTGAATAATACTTTATGGCATTTGCTCTTTAAAGACTTCTTTGGATTATTTTTGGTAGTATTGACATCTTACTGACGTGGTTTTTAGAAAAGACATGCATATTCTGTACATAATTTCATTATTTCTCCACAACTGGTAATGTGGTGGAGGTCAGAGGTGCTGTCAGAATTGAACTAACAAACTAGTTTCAAGGATTTTACAGTGAAGTATGTAGAGAGAAGTACGAGTTAACTACAGTTATCTGTCACTGATGCTTACTGTGGTATTATCTCATTTATGTTTTCATAGCCATTGTGAAACTATGTGGAAATGGGGTAGTGGAGATGTTTCTCCTTCCAAAACAGAAGTAAGTATTGGATTACTATTAAAATAATATTTTCTTAAGAATTTCTGACATGGAGGATCTTTGATTGATGACACACTAATTGTGTGTATTTGTTCTTTCATACCTAAGTTGCTTAGCTAGTTTTACCCTAACTCAGTTTAAGGACTCTAAAAGTCAGGTTGGGTTCTTGCTTCTTGTCTACGTGCTATTTCATCTCTCGTGTGTAACACAGCTGTTTTATTCCTCTTCACTATGCTCATCTTTAAGAAAACATTTGTAGGAATTACATAAGCTTTATCCCAAGGGTGTTTTTGTGCATAGTATGTTCGATATCAATATTTTATTGCCACTAGGTTCAGTAACGCTGCTGGTTGTTACAATGCAAATCCAGTAAATGAGGAAATTCAGTTTTAGATGGGTAGGATGCTTTGATGGCTTTGCCATAGTTAAAACTAATACTCCTAAACTACTTTCTAAGATTTATAATTACTGTGTTTATGGAATTTAGCTAAAAATGGTCTGGTATAGGTACATATGCTAGATGCAGGTTTTAGTGTTGAACTGGAATAAGATTTGCTGAATGTTGTAAAAAAACCCAGACAAACACCAACTGAAAACTTTGCAGCAGCAGTATTGTCTGCACCGTTTCGTTTGTTCAAAGTATTTTTAATATCTGAAGGCTGCAGGCCTACAAGATGCAGGAAGCATGTCGGTGGCTGATTTGACTGAACAGCTGACAAGCACTGAAAAGCTGGTAGCACAGCTGAAGGAGCTGGTCAGGAAGAAGGATGCTGAGCTTCGGAATAAAGATCTTCAGTTAAAGGTAAATGTGCATGTGTTCTTGTCAAAAAGACTCTTTAAACCCCCTATTCAGTCCTGTTTATCGTGAGCTGTTTTTGTAGATACAGGCTTATAGTCAGTTATAGTCAAGAAGCGTTGGTCACAATTAGGTGTTGTGGTTCCTGGGCATTGCTGCTTTTTGCCTGTGTGTCTTCAGTTCCAAAATTGTAACTGGGTTTGGGTATTACACAGGCGATGTGTTCCTTGCATAGAATGGTTTGGGTTGGAAGGGACCTTAAAGATCATCTAGTTCCAACCCCAATCTGCATGAGCAGATGCAATAATTGCAAGGGACTTTCTGAGAGCTAAGGGCACATGGTCATTTTAGGCTAAGTATGGGGAATAATACCACCCAAATCATTACTGGATGTAAGCAAGATGCCCACTTACCTCAAACTGAATTTCTGTAGATAATTTTTTATTTCTCCTTCCATTATAAATGTCTTTTTACTGTATGATGGTCTTACTATTGATACTACTATATATTGTCCTCTGCTTTTGACTGGCATTAGGAAGGAAGGGACTAGAATGAGTTTATATCTAATATCCTGAAGACTTTTGAGGGTTTGTTAGTCTTTACTCTGTTATTTCTCAACAGTCATAAGGTTGGTCTGTTCCTGCAAGAAACTTTTTTTTACACTTTAGAAACAACGTCTTCTGTGGACACCGGCTAACTGAATTTTTTAAAACTCATTGTAAATTAAGTTGTCTGTTGGAACAAAATGAAACATGCTTTTGTAGTATTGTGATGGTGCCTTTCTTTTTGCATGTAACACCCCCACCCCTTGCCCCAAACTCTTGTTAAAATATCAAGCCCTGAATTGTAATGTTTAAAAAAAAAAAAAAGCTAAATTTCTAACACTGTAATGCCTTGGATTCTCTATAGCAATAAAAAAAATCATATGCAGAAAGTTTTAATAATGAGAGGAAGGTTGTTTCATACAGGAAAACCTATTGCACGGGACATTATAATGTCTGTTCAGGGGAAAAGATTTTTTTTTTTTCCTGTAATCACTTTTTTCTGTAATCACTAATAGATTTCAATCTCTTTTTATAATGGAAGAATTGAAGGATGCATGTAGCTTTCATGTAGCTAATTTAATCCTTCGTGACTCTGATGTTTGCAGGAGGAGAAGGAATCTGCTGATACCAAACTTTCCAAGTTGAAGCTGCAAAACAAAGCCAAGGTTGCATCATTAACCTCACAGCTGGAAGAACTTAAGAAACAGTTATCAGTATCAGGAAGCTTAGAGGGGAAAGCAGAACAAAAAAAGGTAAGCATCCTTACATTTGAAAGCAGACAATTTCTCTAAGCCTGTGGACTGTTTTGTGTGCTCGACTCAAATGTGGGACTGAGTTCACATTTTGAGCCGAGGCAGATTACTGTCAGAATAGACTGTGTGGATGCTGTTAGTCCATCTGTGTATTTCTGTTTCATTCTTTTATCTTTCTGTAGAAATTTATAAAATTGTACATTCCTTTCAAATTGTTTTAGTAAAAAAATTCTTACAGATCTTCATCATCTTATTAGCAGCTCAAAGTTTTAACACATGTGAAATCAGGAAGGTAAGTTTTTGAGAGGAAACAAAAGCAAAACCTAACTTGTTACTTTAATGTCCAAGATAATAATGGAAATGTAAAAATGCCCTTGGTAGCAAAATGTAAATTAAGTGTAGCCGTGTCTCATTTAAGTGACCAGTGTTTCAACAAAGATTCTCAGATCTGCTTGTAATAGTGTAGTTGTGTGAATATATCTGTATTTCTTCAAAATAGCGTATTTTGACTACATACAGCTTCTAAAATAACATTAGTGAGGCTTTAGTATTTCTAGGGCATTTGGTTTCTTTTTTTTTTTAGAGTATGCTGGAAAGGAAAAGACACAGATCAGTTTGTCCCTAGGTGTCCTCAAAGACACGCAGTAGCTAATAATTCGTGCTTTCAATCTGTTTTACTAATAAAGCATATTCTTAGCAATTGCACTTGATTTCTTTTGTAATGGCAAATAATTTCTATAATCCAGTGATTACACGTGCTAAAATTCTGATTGGAAACATTGTGCTTAGGAACAGTTTAATTTACACTTTTTTCCCCCTGTAGTCTTTTTTTTCCCCTCTGGATTCTATGGAATATACTTGCCAGATTATATGGGTTACAATTGTCAGAGGAAATGAAAGCCCTTACTGCACGTTGCAGTCCACTTTGCAGCAACAGTTACCGTTCATAATTTAAACACGGAAATTTTTACAACCTTGGTACGGATTCTGTGCCTGAAATGCCTAGCTTCTGCATGGAATATGTAATATATAAGAGAACCGAAACCCAGAGCATGAGTAAAGTCCACTTCTTCTCACCAGTATTGTCTGCATAGGTAGAGATGCAAAATTTCCTGTTTTTACAGGCATCAAAAGATGGTGACCAGGAAAATGCTGCAGCGAATCGTGGGAAAATATTAGTACTGAGAAGGAGAATTGAAGAACTAGAATCCCAGATCATACAGAAAAATGAAGAGTTACAAAAAAAGGTGGTGTTTTATATGATGCTAAGTGTGTGGCTTTTCAGATTTGTGGTATAGGTTTATGTTTAAATGTATTTACTTAAATATATTTCTATATGCAATTATATGTTACGTTACTGAACAGGTATTCTGGGAGTTTTCTGTTGAGTAGACCGAAAAGTTTGTATGCTGCAACCTGCCTGAGCAAATACAGTGAGAATTCTGTCACTGTGAATCCTCGAGGATACTTTTGTAGTCATTTGAAACTTAATGGAATAGCATACACAAATACAAAGTTTGTGGGTTAATGTTGTATTTAAAGCTTGTATTTTGAAAAAAATGCAGTTTTGCTTTGATTTTTCTTGTTGCAAAGAAGTCATAATGGAAGAAATGTAGGGAAGGGATGATTTTGTGTTACAGTTTGTAGAGGAAACGCAGTGATGTGTTCTGTGGACGTGACTGTTCGCTGCGTGAAGTGGCAGGAATGTGAAAGCTGCAAAACTTCAGGGAGAAAGATTCAGGAAAAGATTACACTTAAAATTGAACCAGGTTATAAATTTGATGGTCATTTTTTCAGTACCCTAATACAGGCAGTAGGGAAATAATGCAAATCGTTCTTCTGTGCTGTAGGTGGTGGAAGTATATAGATACAAGCAACGCTGTCTGTTCATTTTCAGAACGTTGAACTGGAGGCCCAGCAGTGTCGTGGGGCTGAGATGGATGCCATGCTGGCAGAGAAAGAAAAGAAGTTAGCTGAAAGAGATGCTTATATCATTGATTTACAGATAGCGTGTGGATCCAGTGGTGTTGCCAATGAAACACTCCTGCCCAATGAAGAATTGAAGGTATATTAGCAGCTCAGATACAAAATCTCATCAAGGTTTCAATGATTCAATGAATTCTGTTGCATTATGCAGTGGATCCTTCTCTGAAGCACAAATCCTCTGCAGTTATTCATGTGAATAAAAATGCTTTACTAATGATTTTCACTGATGTTAGTAGATCTATATTTATTTACCTATTTTGTCAGTAGTATTTATATGTATTCATATCAACTTCAGAATCTGCTGACAGATGTCATTCAAATTAAAACCAAACCTGAATATTGAGTTTAATGTTACCTTAACCGAGGGAAGGGCTAGGAGATGGTTTCATGATGGTTGCTGTATCTTTTTTCTGGGTCCATTATTTTAATTGTCTTTTGGTTTGCGTTCTAAAGAATCGTCTGGCTGTTAGAGAGTCATCACTTCAAAGTATGCAAATTCTAGTTCAGAACCTTACCAGGAAGGTTGGAGACAGTGAAGAAAAATGCAGCTTGTTCCAGGAACAGATTGAGAGCCTTAAAAATATTCAGAGCAAGGAAAGAGAGTGTTTCCAAGGAAAAGAAGCTACATATATGGAAAATGTAAGTAAATACACTGTAAAAATATTTAGGTTCTTTTGGCGGCTGTAGTGTTTATATCTCAGTAGTTAAGAAACATCTGTTTTAATTTTGTATGGTCTTTGACTAAAGACCTGTATGTTAATCAGATGAAATGAGAATACTGCAGCAGTAGGTGGTTTGTGCAGGTAATTGAAGTTGAAAGTTTTGTGCAAGAAAGGACTTTTAAGGATGTGGCTGGTGTTTTGGGCATGGAGGAACTAGGGTGTAATAGCGTGGAATGAGTCGTGCAGAATTCAAGTTGAAGAACCTCCGAATATCTCCTTCTTGTAGCCCTACATCTGGGGATGCAAACATGCTCACATGCTGGTAGTGCTTTTGGATTATTGTAATTATTCTTGACACAAATGGCTGTTTGACAGATCACTTGTGCTGTGAGCTATCTGGCACACTTTTTAGCATGAGAGCATGGAAAAAAAAATTGGTTTCCCCCTGACTTAAAAAGTAGCTGAAGAAGTTTTATATACTCCATGGGAAACTTTTCTAGAAGTTAGCAGCTGATTAACAAGACAAACAGTAACAACAACAACTTGTTAAGTAGTACTTTAAAAAAAGAAGAGAAAAAATAAAGTGGAACCTGGGGAGTGTGTTATCCCGTCCTTGATGTTAACAGGCTCTTCTAACTCCCTTGGAAGCCAAATCTCAAATTTGAAGCTGAAGTGCATGATCTCTCAGTGTTTGAGTTCTAACATGTGCAAAACTCGGTTTTCTGACATCATTTGATGTCTGAATTTATTTTATCTGTAAGAAAAATGTGACTTTCCATCCTGAACATGACCACACCTGTTCAGTAGCACACAGGGAGTTAGTTTTGATACAGGAAGGAAAGAAAAAGACAAAACAGGCCTGTAAAAGCCATTTTGGTGAGCACAGTGTTGTCACTCAGGTCTAAATCTGTGTAGGACTTTGTGTGAATTTATTCAAAATACCGTTACTGAGATTCCAAAAATTATATCCAGTCCTTACAAAGATTTTAAGATAGATAACAAAGACACATTGGAGGTAGAATGCAAGTTTTTGAGGAGGAGGCAGCTAGCTTTCAAAGCTGCCATTGGGCTTAATTGACAGAAACTTGCTAGAAATGAATGTGATCTGTACAATCTTTTAGAAATTAGAAGTCTCAGTACAGTAGCATCCAAAAAGAAAGGTGGAGATCTGTGATATTAAACAAAAATGGACAGTACCATGCTTCTCATTTAAAGTTGATTATTGTGGAATTGAAACCTTCTGTAGACTGGAGGTTTACCCGCATGCACCACTGGCATCAGGAATCAGTGGCTGATTTTTTACCATTCAGTGGAAGCAAAAGAGTACATTACCTTGCTGTACTTTTAGTTAGTCAATTCAGAATACTTCTACTATGCCTTGGTGGACTCATATTTACTTTCTGTGTGGTTTTAGGTACGTGTGTTTCAAAATATTATCCAGGAAAAAGAAAAGGAACTGGAAGCACAGAGAGAAAAGCATGAGCAGGAGCTCTTTAAATTAGCTGCTAAATCTGATGCAAGTGCTGACTTAGAACAGGTATGTTGCTTTGGAAACTCAATAGTTGGCTTACTTAGACATGGGAATTTGGAATCATGTAATTAGTAACCTCTGTGGCACAGTTCAGATGTCTGATTGGGAAAATAAGTCTTTTTCTTTCTCTTCTGGAAGTTTTAACTCATTCATTGATTGCTTGATCTTTTTTTTGCTAGCTACTAAAGGCCTTGAAACAGAAGCTCCATGAAAAGGAGGAAGTCATGCTGGGAAGGACACAGGTGATAGATGTCTTGCAAAAAGAACTGGATGCCAAGGATGAGCAACTGAAAGTAAGAAATAGGATATATGCACAACTGAACCTGTCAGGTCAAATAAAAGTGGAAAAAGCTGTTTGGTTTTGTGCACAAAGGATAATTCTGCATACTCTTTAGGCATGTCTCTGGGAGGCTTTGATATATGATAATGCAACCAGAGCTGTGCAAACAAATATTAATTCCGGTTAGGAAATTAACTTCAAGGAAGGGTAAAGTCCATAAAACACAGAACTGTCAACTCTCACACAGAGTTTGTCTTGATTCATTTTGGGAAGTTGCCACGTAGGGAAGACTTCATTCTGCCACAAGATTTTTGGCTTCTCTAACTAGAGTCTGCAGTGAGCCCCGAAAGTGAGGTGTTTCCTCCAGCCCAAGAGAGTGTTTTGCTAATAGTGTGCCTTTACTTTTGCTGTATTTCTACTGATTGCAAAAGCAATACCTAATCAAGGTTCTTTGTGTTTAAGCACCTAGCATGAACTCTGATTACAGCCTTTGAGTGCTGCTGCTTCAGTTCAACAACATAGAAGAAGGATATTACAGTCTCTCGGATAGGCTTTTGGGACTCTTTGTGGAAGCAGACCCATTATAGCCTGTCTGGGATGTGCCAGGTCCAACATTTCAGCTATACTATTTTCAACAAACTTTCCATTTACTGGGAGGGCTGCCAGAATCAAAATCTTACTAGAAATTGTTGCAGCTATGTACCCAGGTAGATACCCTGCTCAGGTAGTTAAGATCCAGGGTGGTTTAAGCCGGTTTAATTTGTCCTTTCCATTTGTTATGCCTCCTGCCTTATGCAGGGTTTTGTTGTTTATTTTTAATTTTGGGTTGTATGCATCTTCCTGCAGTGATGCTCTGCAAGAACTGATGGTACCTGGTGCTAGTGCATTGAGGGGACAGAAATGCACACCTTGAGCGTAAGGGGAAGGTTTGACCATGACAACATGAACCTAAAGCACTTTAACTGTAATGGGATCTCAGCTTTAGTAATAAAATACTTTTTTACATGAGCAGTTTTAACCGTAGTTTGGAAATGTTCCCTCTGCTGTTCTGCACAGCTTTTTTACACGGGCAGTTTATATTCTTAGGTTTATGTGTCATGAAAGTAGTTTTTTGAACAGTAGGTCTGTTGTGAGGTGGACTTTTCTGCTACAGTGATCTGTAATCTTTTCTACCTCTTTATGTATTAAAATAACTAAGGTAAAGACACTAAAAGCAGTAATGGAAAACTAATTAGCAACAAAGTATTATAAGGAAGAACAAGATCAGTTTGTGAACTTCAGTTTTAATGGATGTAGGTGACAACATCGGGGTGGCATTGTAGTGAGCATTCTTAATCTTTGGCATCACTGTTAAGGTTCTGCTTCCATTATTTTTTTATATTCCACAGAACCAAGTATTTTTTGTTCCATTTTTCTCCTATGAGAGAGGTAGCATGTAGTTTGCACTGAAATAGTGGTGCCGTTTTGCTGAAGTCCCTGCTTTTGTCTTGGAAATCGGAGCCGAGTAGCTTTTGTGGTAGAGGCAAGTTACCAGGAGTAGCCCTGATTTCTGATTATAATGTATGTAGAAATACAGATACAATATTTGACAGTGGTACTAAAACCACTTTGCATTAAAATATAAAGGTGTTTTCTGTTGTTTTTCACAGGAGATAAATGAAAACCTGAAACGTCTTCTGTCTGAAAAAGAAAACCTCCAGTCTAAACTGGATGCTGAGAAACATGTAATGAGAGCCCAGTTAAGAGACATGATGGAGAAACATGAGCTTGAAATGACAAAAGTTAAGGAGAAATATAATGCTGAACTGCATGAAATTAAAGAGAAACATGAAACTGAGCTACAGGAGAAAGATCAGGCCCTGTTTCAGCTTAAGAAACTAGTGGCAGAATTAAAGGGTAGTGGACAGACTAACTCAGAAGAAGTAAGAGATCTGGAGTCTCTAACCAAAGAGAAGATGGAAGATTTAGAAGGTAGCCTGTTTAAACTGTTGTTACATTTGAAGGGTTCCTTTGCCCCATACTATCTATATGTATTGCATGCCAATTTCATACCTCTTGTGAGTAGAACTACATTAACTTTGGTGGAAGAGCTATTACCATGCTAATTAAAAAGCGTCTGTGATTAAACACTATAATAATGGGGCTTATAGGAATACCAAGATAATCACATGAACTGTAAATTTCTCACTACATTTTTTAGTGTTGTATTTTTCTTCAAATGCAGTTGTCTTGTATCCAGTTACTAAAGGAATTAAACATAGCTCTTATATTAGTAAACTTTCTAGGGTTTTCAATAATTTTTTGTGTCTTGTTTCTTAGTACAAGTGAAATTGAAAACAGAAGAGGCCAGCAAATCTGAAGCAAAGTTTCTGAAAATGAAAGCTTGGTCTAAATCAAGAATCAAACAACTGGAAGATGAACTAAAGAACGTATGTGTAACATTATTTTTAATCTTACATGCCTGTATTTAAAACAGCTGTGCTTGGAAATTTGACTGGAGAACGTAAAATATGGGGTAAATAGAATATTAAAATAATTTTTTCAAAGCATCTTTATATTTGAATAAATGTATGAAAATTGGATGGATGTAAAATGTTGATACAGGATGAATTTTAACAAAAAAAGTACAAACTGGTGTTACCAGCATTCAGGAGTAGATTTGTTAGAGATTAGCTAGTTTATTGCACTTTCACATATTAAAAAAACAGTTATTCTAAATCTTACTTAAAAATCAGAAAAAAAAATGTCGCACTGACTTTGTTGTATTTCTGGTGTTCTGGTACCTTTGACTTATTTTTTTTAGCTTTCATCAAAGAATAACGATGTATCTGCCTTAAACAATCGAGTCTCGGAATTAGAGAGTGAAAATGAAGAACTGCAGTCAAAATTGCAATCGTTGTATGAAATCAGAACGCAGAACGGTGAGAAAAATACCTTGGTTTTTTCTCTGTACTTGGGATCATTGCAAAAGAAAAAAATACTTTCTCATTTTCGTTTTCAAAGTATAACTTTTTCTGAAGACAGATTCATGGGACTTGGAACAATAGCATGCAGTATTTAAGTCAGAGTTACAGCTCAGCTTTTCCTTCCTAAATCTACCTGTGCGTAATACTCGTTGCACTTCGGCTTAGGCAGGGCGTGCGTAAACTTCTCCAGGAAGTGGAAGAGGTATGTGCTTAGGAGGAAGAATGAGATCAAATATCTGGCAAATTTGTCAGAGAATATACAATAAACTTTGGAGAGCAGCGAGTTTCAGGTAAATTAAGAATGATCTCAAATATTTTTCTTTTGTGAGGATTCGAGAGAGAATTTTTGCTTAAAACCTCAGATAGTTTACATTAGAGCTCTGTGAGAGATTTTTCGTTTCGCCTTGTGCTATTTTTCTCTGATGTCCTTTCTATGAATCGAAAACAGTAGAATTTTCAGTTCGTCAGTCTAGACTGTTAGCATGTTAGATTTAAAGAACTCAGCAATATTGAATAATCAAGGACTCAGTTTCATAAGCAGTTGGACAACACAGCTCAACAGACATCTTCTAACTGAATTATCTGAATTTTCATTTTTAATCATTGGTTTTCTTACTAGATTTGTGTTCTAATGAGCTGAATTTATTATGTTTTCATAGAAGAATTGCTGAAGAAGCTGGAAGTCTATGAAGAACAGCAAAGGAAGTTGCAAGCTGATCTTGACCAAGTTACAAAGAGGGCAGCTTCACAGGTTAACTTTAAAATTGATTTGTATGAGTTGCTGAGTAACTCGAGAGAGTGATAATTAGACTTTGAAGAGTGTGTTAACTGGATTTTGGAGCTGAAAATTAATTTAGTCATATATGGAATTGTCTGTGTCTATAGCTGTTCAGTTGGATAAGAAGCTAACAGGTTTTGAATTACTTAAGATAAATTTCTACTTACTTTTCCAGGTACTTTAAATTACGTTTTTCCAAGCAGTTTACTAATTATTTAGTTGCATTTAGCATGAGTCATTGAAGTGTGGCTGTTATTTTGTATACAATAAAAATAGCTTTCAGAAGGAAATAATAGCTGTAACCTTGACAGACGTACAGGTCTGGATAACAAAGTGCTCAAAGCATTGCAGAAGGTCTTTAGGTGGATTAACAGTAAACATTAATCACAGTGACTTTATGCAGCAGAGCCAGTTTGAAACAGTTAATTATATTTTGCTAAAAAAGAATTGTTTTTTCTAAGTTTTCTGGAGAAATTGGGTTTTTTGGTAAAAATCTTAAAATAGATTTTATTTTGGTGGGAAGGTCAAAACATTTTTAATCTGTTCATGGAAACAAATTTGCTAGAGATTTGTTATCCCGCAGGCTGAGCCCTGTGGCCACAAACAAGACAAAATGGGAAGATTTTTCAGAAAAGCAGGCTGGGATATTCTGGCAAAAGCCTTGTTAAACTCCTTGTTTTGGGCCACAGTACCTGTAGCTCTGGGAAGAGCACGTTGAATGTTGTTTTACTTTGTAACATTGCTAAGATGAAAATGTGGAACAAAAATATTTTGCTTAAAAAAGCCATTTTTCATTGAAAAGTATTTCAGATTAAAAGTGCAACTCGCAGTGCCATTTTTGGTATTTTATGAAGTGGTGAAACTTGCTTTTTACATAATCTGCATAAATAAAAATCTGTGAAAATGATAATTGCTATTGTAACGTGGTGAATTAGACAGGATTTTTCTCTCTGTTAATGGTTTGCCAACTTAAAATGTTATTCACATTTACAGTGGGATTTGGTAAATATATTTTCATGCACAATTTCTCTTGTTAGGCCAGTGAATCCGGTAGTGTGGATGAATTGCAGAATCAGCTTTTGGAATGGCAAGAAAATGTACCAGAGTCAGAGGAGTCCTGCGATCAAGTCAGAGAGGAGAAATCTGCCATGGCCTTTAGAATGGCTCAGATTGAGGAGGAGAGAGAAGGTGAATTGTTTTATTTGCGATAAAATAGTACGATGAAGTCGTATTTATACATGGCATGTATCTGTGTGTGTCAGCTGTACTTCAGACTGAATTGATAGCACACCACCATGACTCATTCATGTAGTCATAAGATTTGTATAAATTGCAAATTTAAGCAATTTAGCTATACTTTTTCCTATTTCCTTGAATCTGCTTCTCATACATTCATCTTTTTTTGCAACATCTTTTTGAGTAAATGCGCTTGTTCTGTTTGTCATTGAGTTGCTGCTCTGCAGGACTGCTTGAATTTACTTTGAAAGCTTATTGTCTGCATTTGAGTGATCAGTGACAAAAAATTCACCATTGGAAGGTTAAAGCTGCTTGCCTACAGCAGCTGGTAAAGAAAGGTGTGAGGATCTATAGCATAGGTTTGAATTTGATCAATGAAGGTGTTGCTTCAGTAAAATGTACCTCAGACCGAGTTTTTCTTGAAATACAATTAATGAGAAGCCTTTGTTAGAATATTCAGTAATTTGTTAGTAAGGGTAACTTGTATAGGTCAGCTGAATAACATTAATTGACAATGATTTGGAGCTAGTTAAAAATATTAAATTACCTACGGAAAGCAACATTTCAAGTAAGCTCAGGTTTTGTAGTTTTACAAGTTACTAATAAAACAAGAGATGAGAAAGTGAAGCAGCTTCTATTAAAACTCGCAGAAGTCTGGTTAAATTTCACTGCTTTACTGCTTTTTTTCAAAGCCAACTAGTAGTTTATTGTGGTTTTTGTTCGCTTAGTTAAGTGTGCGTGGATTAATAGCCAATTTTAATATGCACAACTATGGTCATAATTAATCCAGTTAGTTAATTTGAGCCTTCTCTTTTTTGTCTGCGATTGACTGACTTGTCATTGACGTGATCAATTTGGAAGCTCAGTGTGTAAACACAGAGATGTTTTAGGAATCACGTCTTTTCTTTATGAGGGATTTACGCGTGTAATGCTTTGGAATATTCCCTTCATTAACATTCCTGTTACCTCATCTGTGGTAACTACAGCTCCACGGGCAATATTAATAGCAGTTTCAGAATTTCATCCGCGCCAGTCCGTGTTTACTTTTGTACTTTTCCCCTTGGGATAAGCGTGACCTTTCTGTTTCTTTTTTCCTGCCGTTACACCTGACGAGCACTCAGCGTCCCTTCCCCCTCCACTCCTACCCTCCACTGCGATTCGGTCAGCCAGCGAGAACATGGTTTCCCATCAGTTTTGTGCATGCAGGTTCCTGCAGCAATGGCAACCTGTAATGTACTGTTGCTGATTTCTTCTGTGGTTGCTTCTGTTGAGGAAATCGCCAACAGTACCGTATAAGATTTGCCATTGATGGTATGTGGTGTTTAGCAATACATGTATCAGATGCTGGTTTTAGTGGATTTTTTTTTTTTCTGCCTTGCAGTACCTATTTCTTTATAGCAAATGAATCATCTTTCTTCATTTTCCTTTGTAGTAACAGCTGACTCCATATTTATGTTGCACCCTGATCTAGAGAAAAATTTCTTGGCTTGTTGCAAATGGTTGTGACTAAGTAAGAACCAAATTTATTTAAATATTCTTAGTAGTACTTGAAATTCAGCAGTATTTTAAAAAAAACCAAACCAATCATTACGTTCCATAAATTGCAGAACTTTGTAAGCATTCATATTACCTACCAATATTTTAAGCAGTGTGTAAACCCACTACTGATTCCATCACAGTCTATGACAATTTGCCATATATGGCAATCATCTCTTTTGGATGGAATGTGTGGGGAGCTGCAAAAGTATAGAGGATGATAGTATTGATTCCTTGTACAGGATGGAGCAGGGTTTCCTCTGCAAACCACTAAAGGTTGTGATGCTTTGTGTGAATAGTAACACAAGGAAATAAAGACATATCATTAATTAATTTAAATGCAGTGTCTATCTGGAGAAAAGTGTCCTGGGAAGTTCTTCAGTTTTGGTGGTAGATATAATTGCAAATGAAAAGCTCCCTGAGATGCTGTTAAACATCAGATAATATATTAATTTACTGCTTGTTGTTAAAGCAGTGCTGAATTTATCTGAATGTGTTTGAATATTCTAAATCATTCTGAAGCTCTGAAGTCTATACTTTCATTTGTCATGTGACAATGGTAATTTCATTCTTTCTTTTTCATTATGAAATACTTAGGAGCCTAAATATTTTGGGTTCCTAAAGGGCAGTGTGTTATTCATTGTGATTATACTTAAAACCAGATGACCTCAATTTCAACTTCCAAGAAATGGAAAACTCTTTTTTTCCAAAGAAGGAGTTATGTTCTTACCTGGAGTAGTGTTTGCTCCTTGAATGGCTTCACTGAATTAATTGACAGCTCTTGTTAGCAGAGGTTTAAGGCATGTGATCAGAAGTTGCCCTTTATTTTTACAGCTTTGAAGGAGTATGTATAATGATTAAAAAAAAAAGTAGATTCCATACTTGAACATAAACAAAGGTGTGTAAAATGAATGCTGATAAAGTGTTAGTGCCAGAAGCCAAAGTGTTAGTAAAACCAGAAGTAAAATCCAATTTAGCAGTTCTACTTTATAACGGTCTCATTTTTTTTCCTTAAACCTTTTTCCTCTAATCTTTTTGACAACTTAAATATGTGATTTTGAAGTATTGCAGTAAGACCTTAAATCTAGTAGGTGTTACAGAACTGGGTTTTAATAAAATCTCTGGCATAAGTAATCCTTGGGCAACGCTGATGAAAGTTGAGTATTCCCAGTAGAGCTGAATTTCCGGTGGTTACCTCACAGATGCATCAACATAAGCACTCTGAGTTTTGCATTCTGTGAGGACAACTGTGGATTGATGTGGTTAAATTGAAAGCTGAATTTCTAATTAATTAATCTAACTTTCAATTAAAGTATGGAGCCACCTTTACTTTCATTTTTTTTTTCACTGGCTGTTCTGTTTTGTCTGCTTTTCATGAAACATCTGTTTCCTAATCTGTTACCCCAAACATGTTTTGTCACATCACAAAACAGATGGGAATGTACTTTAAATGAAAAATCATTTCTAACAATGAACAGGATGCATACCTAAGCTTTCATATTCTGAATTTATTCAGTCTGTTTATTTACGAGTGATTCTGTATTTGTCTGAAAAGAGTGGTATCATTAATTTATGATAAGATGGTTTGATGCCAGTTTGCAGTGTAACACATGCTTGTGACTTCCTTTAAATTATCTGGCTCTGTAGCTCACACTAAAATTAAAGTTGAAAGGGACACATGTCATTTCCATAAAAAATGAATGTGATTGTTCAGATTATAAAAACTGCAGCTGTTTCAGCTGATGCCTTGATCATACAAATTAAGTATATTTTAACTGAGTAAATTGAAATACGATGTAATTTGGCATTTTAATTGGTTGGCATTTTTTTAGTAGCATCATAACCTTACCCTTTCCAGTCTCCTGTATAAAGTCTTCAGTTAGAGCTGATGAAGAAGCAAAGTTAGACTTATTTTGCTGCTTCTTTTTGAGATATGCAGACTTTATTCTTATGTTTGTCATAGTAACGTTGGAGAGAAATGACAAGGTGAACACAGTGGATTGAACAGAGTCTTTTTCCTGTCAGTCATTCGTAGGGACTTCAGCCTGGCCCTGGTCTCTTTTCTTGTAGTAGTGTCTGATATAAAAGTAATTGCTTTCCTGTGGCACAAAACTGATTGAGGATGACTGGTTCTTTCCTGGCTGCTCTGATCCAGCCATAGTCTCAGGGCAACAGGAGCTGGAGGAGGAACTGGCCACAGTTCAAGGAACGGGCGGGCTGCAGCAGGCAAGAAGAAAAAGCAGTCAGACCAGAAGGAAGCTTCAGGTGGGTTAAAAGAGATAAGACTTTATTTTTAGCCGTATGTTAATAAAAATACGGAAAGTACTATAATTTTTAGGATGCTTTACAGTTAAACACATTAAGGACTTAAGAAGTTAGATTGGTGTTATAACTGAAAACATAGGTGGATTTAATGGTCATGTATGTAGCCAGAAGATGAGAAATTCCAATAGCATCATGCTTCTCTATCCTTGAGTAATGAATCTGCTTAATTTTACATTGAAAAATAATGAGCTTCCCTCTGCCGTAATTGATGGCTTATGTGTATGCTTAATATGTTGAGACCGTTTTTGGTTTACAGTCTTTGCAATTCTCTTTGTTGCTGGAGCTTTAGTTAATATTTAGTAAGTAGTGTCAGTTTGTTCAGATGTAATTCTGGGTAGTTGGTGCTGTAACTTGCATGAAAAAAATGATAATTATTTGTAAGAAGGTTTAGGTGTCATCGGAAAAATAATTTTATATTTAGTTAACACTGGTACTTTACCCTGAGATTCAGAGGACTCTGTTAGAAATTAGAGGACCAATTAAGATAACCAAACATGCTCATCTCTTGACCTTTCAGATGCCTGAGGGTGTCTTCGAATGCCTGGCAGGTAACACACAAAACCTATGAGAGACTTGGCTTTTCTGGAAACAATGGCTGGAAGCAGGGCAGGTTACTGTAGTGTCCACAGTGATCCCATATACTTACATTTAGGCACCTGAATCACTTGTTGAGTTTTAGGACTTTTAATTGAAACTACTCTTTCTAACAGAATACGTATTTTACCCTTGCTTCTTTTCTTCTTTAAATTAAACTTCATTTTCATGTTTTATGTGTAGGAAGAATACAACTTCGATAGAAAACAATGCTTTCAAGAGTTGAATGTCACCTTGGATAGCACTGATTCAGCTGAAGGAGAAAATATGGGAGGTTGGTGGCCAGAGTACACTTCACCTAATGCAGGTGTGCTAGCGACTAGACAGTTTATTAAAGCATGCACTGCTGCTGTATTTTTGTGTCTGTTTTTGTTTTCAAATTCAACTAATAACCCATTTGTGGTGTATTCTAATCTTTGTTGGAATTTTTTGGCTTGCATTTTCTTTCTTTTTATTTTGAAGCATGTGCGTGCTGGATGAACTGCCTAGTTTTGGTTCAGAAGTAGAATATAAATATGACTGAACACTGGAATTGGTTGAGCCTTGACACCTATGAAATATCCTATGTGTCAAGATTGTGTGTTTTTTATGCTATGAGTCTTGATCCTTTGAATGTGTTACCAATCTATACAATTTTTATGTTGCAAAACAGAATTGCATTGCCATTGCTGTATGCTTTTAATTTGAAAATCAATTTTTTTTTTAATGCATATGTTGCAAATTTTCATACAGTCCAGTTTACTTTGTTTATTAATAATTGCTTAAGATCTGATCCTTTAAGTACACAAAGTACTTGTGATTAAAGTAACGAGCCCCACTAGTGATTAAAGTAACGAGCCCCACTATTAAGTGAGCCATAATATTGTTTAGAGCTATGCACAGTTAAGGGTACTTTTGCCATATAAATTTTGGAAGTGCTGGGCCTCAGTCATTTCCACTGGAAATGGCTGAGATCTGGTTGTGCCCCAAACTGGTAAGAATCTTGAATAAAAAGCTGAAACCATTTCTAGACTTCAGGAATTTTAGCAGGCTTTTCTTGAAATAATTTTTCTTCTTTGACTTAAGTAGGTCTACGGAGTGTGGTTGAAGAGTTGGAATTGGAACGAAATCAGCTGCAGGAACAAATTCTTTTCCTAGAAGAGCGTTGTCAGGATTTGGAAGATAGAGTGCAGCTTGAAGGTAGAATGGAGGCTCTTCAGGTGAGCTTCTGTAGTTATGTAAAACCTGTTGATATAAGAGTATTGTTTTATTCTCTGTTTATATTCTTACAATCATAGCCTACAGTAAGACAAAAATGTCAATTTGCGACTAGAAAAATGTCAAAAGGCTACTTTATACTTCATAATTACGTTGGCAGGGGGTGTACACATACTATATTATGCTCTGAAGTTGAAGCCTGTCACTTCTGTTCAGCACATGGAAAAACTTGTTTGGAAGTAAGCTTTGTTATTTGTTTTAGGAACATAGTAAAAGTCAACATGATTTTCATTATTCTTTGTTGAGGGCCTTTGTCAGAAAGTCCAGAATTAGGTTTTGTTACTACTGGCATAAATCTCCCTCTTACATTCCTGAAGTTTCTTTTATATAAATATGTATGTGTATATTTTTATCTTATATATATATACACACACACTTGTCTAAAAGAAACTGTGTAAATATATAAAAACACTTAATAATTTAGTATGATTTCATATATGGAATCTAAACTCCATCTATTAATTTGACATACCTTGTAAAATTATTTAATGAAGGCACCAAAAGGAACAGTAAAGTAAATATGTATGAGAAAAGTTATTTTTAATATTTTCTGATTGTCAAGTTACTATGATAGTTTATAAACCTTATTTTCATTAAATTATATAACTGATCTTACTCAAACTCCTTCAGACGTGCTGCATTAGTCATAGCTCTTTGTTTGTTAAGTTGCACATACCTAAAAATAATTAATGAATTTAAGGTGAAAGACAACCTTATATTAATTATTATTTGAGACTCTTGTAACAACGCCTTTCAATACAGGTAACGTTTGGTGTAGATGAAGAAGGGCAGCTATTGAGGGCGGTACAGGTGTGTTCTGCCTTTTCCAAAATGCTAGCTTATTTTCATAGAGGTGATAAGTTTGCCATGTTTGTGCTATTTGCTGTTGACTCTGGATGTGTGTTCTGCTTTTGGTTTTTGGTTGCTGTTGTCAGATTTCTGTGGTTTTACTTTGAATTGGTGCAGTGGATTTGGCTAGAGTAGGAGATTTGTACTGTGTTTAAAAAAACAAAAAGCAAGCTGTGTGAGTGAAGCTTGCTTCGTTTTTCTTTTCTCCACAGTCCTCCATATGCAGGTTTTTGCATTCCTTTACTCAAAAAATAGGGAAAAAAAAAAAAGATGAAAGTTTGGTACAGTTTTCGAACTGTATGGAAAGTATTTATTTTAAAGCAGGAGCTTCCCCTGTTAAGATAAGTAAGCTGCCTTAATACAGTGTGTGTGTGTGTTCTTTTGGGTACAGAGCAATCATCCTTGAGTCCAAGCTATTTCTTTCTGAAAGGTGGGTTGCATCTATTTGAACTAATATCATACCTGAACTTGTGATATTAGTGTTGTATTTTGCACTGATATCTGATAAAGTGCTGGAATAACAGTCTTTATTACCGTGTAGGATGTGAATCTCCTGAAAAGTCAGATTTTCATTGCTTCAGTTACGCTGTTTTGGGTGCTTGTATGTGATAATCCTCTTTATTATTGTTTTGTTGCAGAACGAAAATGAACGTTTACAAACTCAACTCACCCAATTACGCAACCAACAAATGCGAGATGCGGAAAAGCATCAAATTCTGATTTCTGGCTTGAATGAGCAACTTAAAGGGTAAAGTAAAAGTTCCTTACAACTTCGTACAGAATTAGATTCTTTTTGCTTTAAACTTAAACTTCTAATGAGAAGTATAATCTCTTAAAACACTTGAAAAATTACTTTATTCCTGCTTCTGTTTACAGTAATGTTATTTTTGTACTTGGTAGTTTAAATGGAAAGTGTAAAAATAATTACTCTTTCACAAACATAGTCTGGGGATAGTAAATATAGAAAGCTTAAAGCAAGCTTTGTTTTCAAAATACATGAATATGTATTTTCTTCTTAGATTAAGTGACAGAAATAGCTTTCTTGAAACTTCCCTTGGAGAAAAAGAACAAAAACTGTTGATCACGACAGAAAAACTAGAACAAATTGAAACTTTGAGGAAACTGCTTCAAGAAAAGGACCTTCTGAACAAAGAGCTTGGTGAAAAGTTTGTGCATACTGAGCAACAAGTAAGTTGAAGTTATTGTTAGATAGAATTTAATTTATTAGAACTGGCAAGCATTACCCATAACTTTCAATTTGTGTCCCAGTGAAAACATCGATATTGCTGCTATCTGAAGGTTTTTGCTCTGTTTATTTACAGTTTTGTTCACTTCATGTAATTGCTTTGCTTTAAGTTGGGTGTAAGGACCCAACTTTGGTTTTCTTAGACCAAGCACAGAGCTTTGCATGAAAGTATTTATGTTTTATTGGGGTGATAAGTTGTCCTTGTTTATGAATTTCAAAGTATAAAATCCACTGTTACATAAACTCCACATTACAAATCTATCATCAGAATTTTAGTATAATACTGTACGTGTCTATCACACTGACTTTTATTTTTCATACTAAGCTGAATGAAGCCTTGAAGAAATGCAGTGTGTATGAAGTGGAGAACACTGAGCAGAAAACAGTCATCACTGATCTAGCAGAAAAAGTTGCTACACTGAAGGAAAAGGTAACTCATTAAAAGATGAAATTTTATGTTCCTTTGACATGGCCCATTTAAATGTCAGCAAAATAACAGCATTAGCTACTAAAAATTGCATACGCTAAACTTCCTGTATGCTAAAAGAATCTACAGAATAACATGGTTATCTGGTGGCTGTACAGTTGGGTACAGATTGATTACTTTAGATACTTGTTCTACATGTGGAGTGTAACTTCCACTCTCCCTCTAAGGTATGTTTGAAGCATTCTGGTAACATTATCTTCTTGATATTTAGGCTTTGAAGCAAGATGACATGGTAGAGTCGATGCAGCTGGATCTGGACCAGACAAATGAAGAGCTTGACAAATTGAATACAAGCCATTTAGAGGAAAGATCTCAACTTATTCAAGATCTTCAGAAACGTGAAAGAGAAATTGATAATCTTAAAGAAGCATTGGCAGAAAAAGACAGGGAGATGTCTCTCCTGTCTTTAAATATGACAGAATATTCAGAACAGGTTATCATCCTGAAGCGTCAAGCGCAATGCAAAGAGGAAGAAATACGAGGCATGGAAGAGGCTTTATCAAAGGCTGAAAGGGAAACTCATTTACTTAAAGAAGTTCAAACAGCTGACATAAGGGATGCAAGTGTGAAGATCTCTGTCCTTTCTGAGCAGAGTAATACAATGAGACTGGAGCTAGAAAGAGTTAGAGTTGAGAATGAAGCTAAAACCAAAGAAAATGAGGAATTAATAAGACAAAGCAGTGAGAACAGCATTAAAATTAAGGAGCTCCATTCTGAAATCAAGGCCAGCAGTGTTGCATACCATAACAAACTTGCAGAGTGTGAGTCACAAATTACTTTACTGAAAGAACAAATCAGTAAATCATCTGAAAAGCTACAAGAAACTGAGGATAAACAAAGAAAAGAAACTGAATATTTGAAATCTCAACTTGAGGAAAACAATGCTCTGAAGGAAAAATGGAACGGTTTGCTTAAAGAGAAAGAGACTAAAGCAGAGGCACTTGAAAATGAGTTAAAATCAATCAAAGATTCATACAACAAACTGGTTTTGGAAAATGCTAAAAAAGATGAAGAGTTGGCCGAATTATCGGGGAAGCTTACAAAACATACTGAGCAACAGGAAACAATTAAAAAAGAATTACAAGAGAAACAAGAGTTCATTATTTCATTAGAGCAAAAGCTTGGGGTTTTGGAGAAGCAAAATGAAGAGACTAAACTTAAATTAACTGGAGATCTGGAAGCCAAAGAGACATGTTGCAAAGAACTTAATAACCAATTACATGAAATACATAAACAAATTAACAAGATGGAAATAGAGACACAGGAGAAAGCTTCAACTAATAAGCAATTGCAGGCAGATCTCGAAGGGAAGGAAGAAAAATTGGCAGAGCAAATAAAAGCAAATGAATATCTGAAAAAAAGTATAGATACAGTGTTGAAAGAGAAGGAACAGCTAATCAGTGAAAATGAGAATTTTTTTAGTGTGAATTGTTAAATAAAATCCAGGCTGTGGCAGAAATAGAGAAGAAGTTATCTGTTAGCGCTGCTGAGTACGAAAAAACTCTTTCGGTACTAAATGGTGATAAAAACTCTCTGGCAAGAGAGATTGAACGACTTTCGGTACTTGCCGAGCAAAAAGAAAATTCGGTTGCAGAACAGCTGCGGGAGAAAACAAAGGAATGTAATGTGCTAGCTGATCAGTTGTTTAAAAGCAAGGAAGAGACACAACAGTTAAATGTACAAATGCAATCACTTCTCATTCATCTGAAGGATACCAGAGACAGAGAAATAACGAAAGAAGAGCTGTTAAATAATAAGCTGTCTGAATGCAATAGCCTAATCCAAGATCTCAGCCATAGTAATGAAAAGAATTTACTACTGCAGGAACAAATTGAAAAGATAACTTTGGATTTTGAAGCTGCAAACAGGTCTCTAGAAGAGAAAATGCTTCAAAATGATTCATTACGTAAGGAAATGGAAGAGAGCAAGCTTTCTGTTACAGAGTTGCAGGATGAAATTAAAAATCTTAAAGATGAAAAAACAAAGTTATCTCAGTTGGTAGAGGAAAGAGATCTGACTGTAAAATGTCAGGGTTCAGAACTTGAGAAGTTTCATAGGCAAGTTTCTGAAAAAATGGAAGAAAGTACAGTGTTAAATAATCAGCTACAACTACTAAGCAAAGAAATGGAGGTGCTGAAGCATGAAAAGGAGGACGTTTCAAGCTTATTGAGCAAGAAGTCACATGAATGTGAACTTCTTCGGTCACAGTTGGTACAGCAACAGTCTGAAGTTACTTCAGCAAGGCAACAAGCACATACAGCAGCTCTAGAAAATGAAAAGCTAAAAGTAGACATTGAAACAGTTAATGTTATGGTAATGAAAAAGTCAGATGAAGTAGCTGCTTTAACTTCACACTTGTCCCAACAAAGTCATAATATTTTAGCTCTGAAAGACCAAATTGATGGCCTCTTGATGGAAAAAGAAAACTTAAAAATTGGCTTTGAAGAAAAAGAAACTCTTCTTTCTGAAAAGGAGACTCTGATTCAGCAAATAAAAGATAGCAAAATGGCAGGAGAAGGGCAATATATGCAAATAATTTCAGATCTGCAGAACCAAATGGAAGCCTTAAGTTTTGAAACCAGCCAGCTTAGACTCACAGTGCAGGAAAAAGAAAATGAATTTCAGAGGCAAACCCAAGAATTAAAGTTATTAAAAGATAAATCTGAAGAGTCTGATGTACTTAGGGTTCAATTGTCTGAGAATATCCAGGTTATTTCTGACCTTCAATATCAGCTTAGAAATGTGACAGAAAAATCATCCCAGCTGAATGATTCAGTTGTGCAGAAGGATAAATCTTTAAAACAAAAGTTAGATGAATACATCAGTTTAAAAGCACAGTTTTCTGAGGTACAGGAATCTTCTGTTTTGCAGCAGAAACAGTTAGAGCTTTTAACCTCTGAAGCAGAAAAGTTAAAAGTACTTGTTTCAGAAAAAGAATTAACCATCAACAATATCTCGTTATTTAGTGAGGATTTAAAGACGCAACTTCAAAAGAAAGAGAATGAATGTGAGGTCTTAAAGATACAAGTGGTAGAGCTGGAGGAAGTGAAAGTAAATTTACAAAAAGAAATACAACATCAGAAGAATGTAATAATTGGGATGGACCAGTCCTTATCAGAAAAGGAATCATGTTTAATGGAAAATAAAAATCTCCTCAAAACTCTGAAGGAGAACGCAAGGAGAGATGAAGAAAAGGCTAATTTAATTTCTCACCTCCGAAGTCAGGTACATGAACTAACACAAGAACTACAGAAATCTAAAGAACTAGTGCATGAGAAGGAAAATGCCTTTTTATCTCTTCAGGAGGAAATTGAAACACAGTGTGAACTAAGATCTGAGTTGAATACTGTTGGGAAAAAAGAACTTATTGCCGGACTGCTTAATTCTTTAAAGGAGAAAGATACCAGTATACAGATGGCATATAGCAACATTAGTGTTCTTTCTAGTGAGATTGAGGTTCTCAAAGAAAAGTTAGAGAAAAGTGGTACAGCCTTGAAAAACCTTACTAAGGAATTTCAGGAAAAGAATGAGAAGCTTGACATTAGCCAGAAGAAAATGGATTCTTTGACTGTTGAACTTGACTGTCTTAGAAAAGAACACCAAAAAGCACTAGACCAAATAAGTGCACGGGAGGAAGAACTACAGCAAAAAGAATTGGCTGTGGAGTCTCTACGTGTGAAGTGTACCGAACAGACAGATAACATAGCATGTTTGAAGTTAGAGTTGAACAATATACATTCCAAATCATCTCAAGACTCTCATGACAACACACTTTTAATAGGTAGCCTGCAGTACCAGGTAGAGTCTTTAGAGAAAGAAAAAAATCTGTTACAGGAAGGTGCTGCTAAACTGATGGCTGAAAACACACAACTGACTGCATCTCAAAAGCATTTGCAAAAGAATTTGGAAGAGCTCAGAGAAATCAATAAAAACCTAGAAACCAGTGAGAATTATTCAAGAATGCAGATAGATGCTGTCAAACTGCAGATGAAGACTGAAAAAGAGAAGTTACAGATGCAGGTTGGTGTGAAGGGCGAAGAACTTTCTAAATTAGAACTTAAATTTGAAACTCTAGAACAAAGTCTACTTGAGTCAGAAAACAAATGGGTGACAGAACTTGATAGGGCAACTTTACGAAATAATCTTACTGAGCAATTGAACAGTTTAAAAAGTGAAATGAAATCAAAGGATAGCAAAATCCAGTCTTTGCAGCAAGAGCTGGATCTTATAAAAGAGGAATTAACTCGAAGCTTATCTCTGTTACTTAGTAGTAGGCTTTTATGTAAGGAAAAGAAGGCGCAGACTTCACATTCTGAACTGCAGCTAACTGATAGTAAAATTCATTTGGAAAAATTCTCCACTCTGATAACCACTATTTTGAGCAAAGAAACAGAAGGAGAGCAATTGCAACTGGTGCTTTTAGAAAAACAGAAAGAATTAGACACCGTAAAAGAGGAATTTAAAAGTATGCAGTCACTTGAGAAGCAGAAAGAGTTGCTGCAAAATGATATTGAAAAGTTGAAGGGAAAGTACAAATCTGAAATCGAATGTCTGGTAGAAGAAATGGTCACAGTCAAGGAAAAATTAACTAAACAACAGTCTGTCTTGCAAGAAAGGGAAGAGTCGTTTGCAGAAATAAATAAGCAGGTTGAATTTCTTCAAGACAAGATAAATGAATCAGAAGAAGTAGTAAGAACTAGTCAAGAAAAACTGCACATTGAAGGTAAAAAAGTAGCAAGTCTTTCTGAAGAAATAGGAAAAAAAGATCAAGTCATTGAAAACTTATCTTGCCAGGTGAATCAGCAGAAGGATTTAATTTCTGGTCTAAGCCAACAACTGAAAGAAAAGGACTGTTCCGTTACCCAGATCATGGAATCATTAACTAATGAAGTTCTGAATTATTCTGAAGAGAGAAATACATTAAATATCAAACTGCAAGACCTTGAGGCTGTGCATAATAGATCTGTAGGAGAGCTAAAGCAAGTATTGCAGGAACTTGAGGATTGTAAGAAAGAACTGGAACATAGTCAGGTTATGTTAAGCAGTAGAGAAGCTGTGCTTAAAGATTTAATGAATGAAAAAGAGGAGATGCAGTTTAATCTTGAGAAAATTAGCAGGGAAAAAGAGAGTCTGAAAAAGAAACTTCAAGCAGCATTGATAATAAGAAGAGATCTAATGCAAAAAGTTGGAAAACTAGAGAAGAGTGGACAGGAGGAAATAGAAAAAGAACAAAAAAAAGCAGAGGAGTTGTTGAGCAAAGTTAATGAGTTGACAGACAGGCTGAAACTAGTTGAATTCCAAAATAAAGATTTTGAGTTTCATCTTGGAACTCTGAAGCAACAGCTCTTGGAAAAAGATGCCACAATAAGTGATTTGACTGAAACTTTGTCTGCAAAAGCCTCTTACTTAGAGAAACTTCAGGACAATATTGCACAATTAAATGATGTTCTTGCTGAAAAACAAAATATATGTGAGCAGAATCTAAAATCCTTAGAGGAAAAGGACTGCATGCTTGCTCATATGCAGTCAGTGCTTGATGAAAAAGCAAGTGCATATGAGGAGGAACATTCTCAGTTGGTCTTAGCTCTTGAAAAGATGAAGTCTGAAGTTAAGAAGAAGGAAGAATTGTTGAAAAATTCTAGTTCAGAAGAGCCTGATTTGTGTGCTGGGGACAGCAAGAAGTGTCTGGATCCCAACAATGACATTAATGTCATCAGTCAATTAAAAAAAGAAAAAGAGGACTTGGAGAGGGAGCTGTTGGCCAGGAAAGAAGATATGAAAAAATTTCAGAAAGAAAGGGAAGAGCACACTAAACTTGCAGCAGATTTTGATGAACAAAAAAACCACCTCGAGAATCTCAAACAAGAATGTAAAGCAATCTGGGAAGTTCTTCAAAAACAATGTAAGGAACTCAACTTTAATCAGTTAGAAGAATACTCTCTAGGGAAACAGCTAGCTTCATCTATGGCAGCGCTCATGCCAGGAGAAGCAACAGCTGACCTAAGGAATTTGGAATCAGACAAACCACGAAGCAAAGTCCAGGTTGCATCCTTAAAAGAGTCAGAAAACATTACTTCAGTGGCAAGTACAGACACTGAGTTAAAAGAACTGACATGCAATTATGCAAAGCTTCATGAAGAAACAGGAATGTTAAAGACAGAGTTGAGAAAAATATCAGTTGAATGTGGTGGTGAAAGAAAACAGACGGTCAACTTAAACTCTTTGAGTCTGCAGGAGCAGTACCAGGAGCAATGTGAGGACAGCTTGTTGGAGGTCATACGGCAGCTACAGAAAAAGGTAGAAGCATATGAGGCTGAAGCTACAGACATGAAGACAGCACTTGAACATGTGAATAATGAGAAAGAGGCACTTGTTAAAAAAAGTGAAGGTGATTACAAGATGAGCCAGGAGAAACTGCAGAGATTGAGAATTGAAGCTAAGAAGGAGGTAGCAGAAAAGAATGAGGAAATAGAAGCATTGCATTGTTTGCTTACAGGTTTCAAAGATAAACTTGATCTGGAAAAGGAATTGGTAAACAAAGTTGTAAAGGAGGGCCAAGAAGCAGCCCACCATTACGAAACAGCATTGGAAGAATTGAAGAGTGAAAGAGAGAAACTTGTCAGTTGCTTAGAAAATTCTAATTTGGAGCTAATTAATATGAAAAAGGAGGTAAAACATTTCAGTGAAGAAAACAAAAAACTTCTGACAGAGCTATGTATGCTACGTGAGAAGGCTGAGATGACTAGACCCGTGGGGTCGTGCAAGGAGCTTAAGGAAGAAAATGATCCTGAAAAAGAATTGGGAGAGTTTTGCATGGGAAGTAATTCTCTTCGAGGAAAGCTGCAAGGTAAAGGCACCTGTTTTCAACTTTCAGAGACTGATGACTCCGGGAAAACTAAACTGAGAGAAGTAACAGATTGTCAAATCAAGAAACAAATGCAGATGACTGAAGAACCTGCAGATGTAAGTGATTCTAAACCACAAGAGCAAAGAACTGTAGCAGAAGAGAAGTCCAAAGAACGTCTTCAAAGGAAATTGCAGGCGGCTTTAATATCACGTAAAGAAGCCCTGAGAGAAAATAAATGTCTAAAAGACCAGATTGATAAGCTAATGTTGGAAAGAGAAGAACTGGTGAACAAGACAGGTATGCTTGAACAGTTGTTAGAGCTTGGTAGAGAAAAACAGTGTTCAAGTACTGTTTCTCCATTGTCTGAAGAGGAGAGCCTGGTTTCCGAAAATGCTAGGCTGCTGACTGAAAATGAAAACCTCACCGCAGCATGTGAAAGTCTTAAATCCACCATGGAGACTATAGTTCAGGAAAAAGAGGCCTTTTCTCTCCAACTAAATACCTTAAAAGATTCTCAGACAGTTGAACTAACAGGATGGAAGGCTAAACATAGTGAATTGAAGCAGGAATATGAATCGCTTCTTCAGGCTTATGAGAATATCAGTAGTAAAATAGCAGATATGAGGCAAGTTATTGATCTCACTAGAAAAGAGAAGCAAGAGGCTATTCAGAAACTCAGGGAAGGACAATCTGAGAAGGAGGCCATTGAGAAGCATTTACAAAAACTCATTGATGAAAATGAGGTTCTTGAGAATCAACTGAAACAACTTGGTGAATCCAAGCAAATGGAAGTTGATGAATTACAAAGTAAATCAGAAAGGCAGATTCGTGAGCAAGAGGCAAGGATGCAAGAACACCAGAGTCGTCTTCATGAACTCACGGATCAGAATCATCAGCTAATGGAAGAAAATGAGCAGCTGAAACAAACTTCTGAAAATTTAAAGCAAGCTTTAGAGAAAATTCAGAATGAAAATGATATCCTTCATAATAACATCACTGTAACTAAAGCAGCTTTGGGAGAGCTCCAAGTTCAAATGGAAGTGTACCAAAATGATATGCAATCTAAAATCAGTGATGCATTAGATGAGAATGAGTCATTGTTAAAGGATGTTAATGTGTTAAAGGATAAACTCTCTGAAAAAGAGCAAGATATGCTTGCCCTGGAACAAGAAAGGAAATTAATTTCAGAAAAAGCGGAAGAAACTGAAAAATCTTTAGACCATAAAAGTAATTGTCTAACAAAGCTGGACATGGAATGTAAAAATCTTACACAAGAAATTGTTAGTCTAAATGAAAAAGTTAAGATTTTAGAGGATGATAAATGTCTGTTACAGGAAGAATTAGAAAATGCACAAGAAAGTTCTTACAAAGTAAAGAATGAGAGAGAATTTCTTGAGACAGAATTGCTTAATCATGTGAAAAAAGTCGATCATCTTACAGATAGGATGAAATCTGCACAGGTACAGAATAACTTCTTGTTACAGCAACTGGAAGAATTAAAGGCAGAAAAATGTAATGTGATTAGAGAAAAAGAACAACAGCAGTTACACCTTGTAAAAATGTTTGAGGAGAAAGTGAAAAGTGCTCAGAGGGATAATAGTGGAAATAAAAATAAAACAAAAGAATTGCAAGAACTCTTAAAGGAGAAACAGCAGGAGATCAACCATTTGCAAAAGGATTCTATAAAGTTCCAGGAGCTGATCCTGGATTTGGAAAGATCTGTGAAACTGTCACAATCAAAAAGTGAAAAATTTGAAAAGGACTTAAGTAACATGTCAGAAAAGCTTGCAAAATCAAATGAAGAAATATATCATCTCAAGGGGAAGATTTCTTCACAGACAAACTTGTTGGATCAGTCAAAGAATGAGGTGGACAGGCTTACAGATGAGAATCTAAATTGGAGAAAAGAACTTCAGAAGAAAGAGGATGAACTACAAATTCAAAAGAGAGAATATGAGAGAGAATTGGAATTTAATCTTCAACAATTAAAATCCGTTCAAAGAAGAGCACTTTTGAACCTAGAGGAAAGACATGGTGCCCTTCAGAGAGAAAAAGATAGGGCAGTTAATGAGATTCATGGTTTGCAAGAGGAAGTTAGCATGAAGGACTCTCAAAACAAGAAACTGCAAACAGATTTGAATGCAGCTTTGGCACAATTAGCTGCTTTTACAAAGTGTATGTCCTCTCTTCAGGATGACCGGGACAGGGTAATCACTGAAATGAAAACCTGGGAAATGCAGTTCAAAGAGGCCATCCAAAGTAAGGAGAAGCAGATAGAAGACAGCAATAAAAGAGTAATGTCGTTACAACGTGAACTGAAAGACAAAGTCACTCAGATTCAAGAACTGAATATCAAATATTCTATGATGGAGGAAAGAAAAGATGAACTGTACTTGAGGCAAAAATCTGTTGATACACAATGCTATGAAGAGCTCTGCAGAATCAAGGAAGAAAACACGGGTTTTTTTAACAGGCAGCGAGAACTGGAGAATGTTCTTCAGTCAAAAGAAGCAGCTTTGCAAGCGCTCCTTGAAGAAAATAATTCTCTTCAGCGTCTCATAGAGAATAGTAAAAGTGCAGAAAGAGAGATAAAAGCTCTGGAAAGTAATTTTACAAGACAGGAACAAGAATTGCAACAGGTTCTAGCTGAGAAGGAGAAAATTAATGCTGAATTGCAAAAGCAGACTACCATTTCTGAGCAAATGAAGATCATGCTAAATAATAAAGACAAAGAAATTTCCTTACTAATTTCTTCAAAAGGTAATGAAATTTCTGACTATCTGATTCAGGTACAGACTCAACACAGAAAACAAATCAAAGAATATGAACTTCAGTTAAGGTCTTTGCAGACAGAGAGACAACAGTCTGAGGAGTCATGTCACAGGATGGAAAATGAATTGAGAAATCTCCAGATGAAAGCAGACAAAGCAGGTCAGGATAAGGCTGTAGTTGCCAGTGAAATAGATGCCTTTAAAAAATCAATGTCATCTCTTCAGAATGATCGGGATGAGCTTTTTTCTAAATACAAAGAGCTGGAACTTCTTCACCAAGATGTCTTAAATCAGCGGGACAGTCTTATAGTTGGCAATGCAAGTGAGATTAATGCTCTGAAACAAGAACTAAGGATACTTCTCAATCAGAGAGATGATCTTCATTCTGAAAATGCAATGTTGAGTGCACAGCTGGTAAAGTATAGGGAAGATCTTAACCAAGTTTTAACTCTGAAAGACCATCAGCTGAAAGACTTACTTAAGCAGAAATTGGATTGTATTAAAGGCCTTGAACAGGAAAAATATGATCTTCAAAAACAGGTAAAAGAAATGCAACTTTCCAGTCGACTGCAAAAGGATACTGCTGTATCCTTGGAACATGAAAATAAAAAATTACTGTCTAAAGTAAATTACTTAGAATCTTTAATTGCATCATTAAATAAAGAGAAACTCGTTTCTGAATCTGGAGAGAAACTCCTAACTAGCGATAGTGTTCAGAAAAAAGAATGTGTATCCAATGGACAGTATGGAGAAAATCTTCAGAAAAAGATTCAAGATTTCCAGAAGTCAAGAGGCAGAAAGACTAAGGATGCAGATGAGCAATACAGTAAGACTCTTCTGACACCTGAACATGGAGATGAACCGGATGCTTTTGCAGAGAAGATGATATTAGAAGTTCAGTCTCAAAACAGTGAGCTGAGGTCCCAAAATGAGGCTTTCGGGAAAGCAATGACTGCTCTGCAAAATGATAGAGATAGGATAATAGAGGATTTAAAGGTTCTTCAGAGCAAATACACATCTGAACTCAAGACTGAAAGAAAGAAAGGAAATGAACTTGAAGCTGAATTGGATGACTTTAAATTGCATCTTATCAGTATGCTCAAAGAAAATTCTCTTCTGAATCGTGTTATTTTTGATGATGCAGATAAGGTTACGCTTGATCAGATTGCTGATGAAATCGAAAACCTGTGTAGGACATTAGTCAGTCGTGAGATGGAGATTAGCAGGCTCTCATCTGTGTGTGGGAATTATGTTCACCAGATTGAAGCATTTTCCAAGTCTATGGCCAGTCTTCAGGATGACCGAGACAAATTGCTGCAGGAACTCAGCAATCAGAAGGTAACTTCAGAAACAAAACAGGGCACAGCTTCATTTCCCATTGGTTGCAACAGCGTCATTGAGATAAATTCTTTTAAAAGTAATTTGGATATGTCTCAGATC